ATTGTTGCTTGTGCAAAGTTGCTATAGTTTTCTGTTAGAAAATTTATCCATGGTCGTTATCATAACCTAAGCCATGATCCCACATGTTTCATTTCCCACAGGCACCAGTGATAATGGGCAAAGCTCTGCTGATTGGGTGCTCCTGTCCCTTGGAGGTACTCTGGAAAATGCATCAGAACAGCTGTTTGCAGAGCAGCCAAGGAACCAGACACAGGACCTGGGAAGAACCAGAAACAATCCCTCTTTTTCAAGATTAGAGTTATCTTGGAACGGTGAAGGCCAGCACTGCTGTGGGAGAACGTCTGAGTCCATTGGGGTGAAATATGGACATTTCAGTGAACATGATACTCATTAATTTTAATTCTCTCTAGTCATATTGATAGGAGTCTGTTACTGAACTGTGTTACATCATCCTGTATCGCAGAGAAGACTAAGTAATTATATGTTTTAATGAAACATAGATATAAAAATAATATATTTGTATGTATGTAATATACACATAATGCTTTTTCATGGAAACTTGAAAAAGATTGCTCACTTCTTTGTTGGAGGAAATAGAGGGTTAGGCATGATCTGTCATGAACTGCTGCAGGTGAATAATATTGTGGTCCTCCAGTGGAGGAGCAGTGAAAGACTTGACAGCTAATTATTACAGACTTGTGCTGGATAGTGGCCAAGGTGTATACAGCTTGATTGGATTTTGAAGCAAAAACGATGTAGGTGAGCTGGCTTGATGTGTCAGGGCAGAACAGGCAAAGACACAGTCCTGGGGCACTGACAGTGAATTATGCTGCCAGTACTTCTGTCTCCTTTGGGCTTTTCTCTCCTGTTCTAACCTCATGTTTTTGCTTAATGGGTGTCAGCGAAAAGCAGAGTGCTGTGGGATGTCTGTGCTGTGACTCACTCTGAGTAACATTTTTATCAGTGACCTGGAGGAGGTGAGGAAGTGCAATCTCATCATAGTTGTGAATGATAACAAATTGTGGAGGGGTTTTACATGCTTGAGGGTTCTCAAGATCTGAATGGATAAAGCCTTGAACAGACTGCTCTGGCCTCAGACCTGGCCTTGAGCAGGAGCTTGGATTAGGGGCTTCCTCAGGTCCCTTCCATTTCAATCCTCCTGTGAGCCTGTGTCTCTAGATGCAGTGACCCTGCCTTCTTAAAAAGCCTGTTATATGCCACTACAAATTTCAGCTCTTTTCCTGGGGGTTTGTGCTCCCATAAGACACTGAACTGCAGCAGTGTGGCCTGTGGTACTGGAGTCAGGAGTAAGTTGTAAAGAAGGAGTACTGAAAGGCTTTGTTTGTCTGACATAGCATTCAGAAAGAGATGGTCCCCAGGAGAGGCTGAACCTAAAATATCCTTCCTGGGTCCTTGATGAGCAGGTTTCACACTGTTATCTGAAGCTGGTACGGTTAAAACTGCATTTTTTGTTTTGGTCAGAGTTGTGTTCCTACAGTCAGAAGCTGTTCTTAAAGAAGTTTCTGCCTCCTGCCCTCTGGGGTCTGTAGCTGCATTGCTGATGCACAAAGTGTCCCCAAACACTGGAGCTGGCATGGTACAAGAATGTGAAGAGGTTTAGAGAAAATTATTGAAGCCTTGCTCTTGAGAGTTTCAAAAACAGGGTTTGAGAAGCAGAAGGACCAAGATAGCTGGAGGAATGAGAACCAGCTTCAGCACACCAACAAGAAAAAAATGCATTTATGGTCCAGAGAAGGGCAGTGGAGCTGGAGAAGGGTCTGGAAGTCCTATGAGGAGTGGCTGAGGGAGCTGGGGGTGGGGGCTCAGCCTGGAGAAAAGGAGGCTCAGGGGGGACCTTCTGGCTCTGCAAGTCCCTGACAGGAGGGGGAAGCCGGTTGGGGGGTCAGGCTCTGCTCCCAGGGAACAAGGGACAGGAGGAGAGGGAACGGCCTCCAGCTGTGCCAGGGGAGGCTCAGGTTGGACAGCAGGATGAATTTCTCCCTGGAAAGGGTGGTCAGGCCTTGGCAGGGGCTGCCCAGGGAGGTGGTGGAGTCCTCATCCCTGGAGGTGTTCAAGGAAGTACTGGAGGTGGCACTCAGTGCTCTGGGCTGGGGGACAAGGTGGTGTTTGGTGAAAGGTTGCACTTGATGATCTTGGAGGTCTTTTCCAGCTTTAATGATTCTGTGAGTTAATGTGAGAGTTGGGAATCCATTGAGTACGAACCTTGCACCTTTTTTGTAATTCTGTTTTTCAGTTTGATAGCTTCTTTGGCTTCTTCTATAGAGCTTTTCTAATTAAGATCCAGTCTCAGGCTGTTTTAACATCTCTTATAGTCTCTTGTACTATTAGTTATTCTTGATTTTTTGGACGTTTTCTAGTATTAAAGGTTGTCTGGTGGTAGCACTGGGTTAGAACAGCTGCAAGATCTCAGTTTAGTTCCAAAAAACTTAGTGAATAGACCTTGAAAAACAGAGAAGAGCTGTATTGTCTTGGTTTTGAGCAACAAACATAATCCACTTTGTCTCCAGAACTTCAGCTGATGTGAATCTGTGATGTTTATCAGGTTCTTATGTTATTGCTCTCCAATGGATCCTTTCTGAGACATAGGAATTGCAACCTGGACAAAGCCAGAGCTCCCCTAACCTGTCTCAAATGGCAGCTGATAAGAGGCTCTGCAGAGGGATACTGGGAAAATCTCTTATGCACCATTCTGGAAAAACACCTGCCTGGAGGCTGTTAAACTTCTGGTCTGAAATTCTGTAGTGAATTATTAGACTTAAAGAGAGCTTTTGAATCATGGAGTCATATAATCATTAAGGTTGGAAAAGACCTCAAAGATCATCGTATCCAGCCATCAACCCAGCACCACCATCTTGTTCACCATTAAACCATGTCCTCAAATGCCACAGCCACACAGTTTTTGAACAATTCCAGGGATGGCATCTCCACCACTGCCCAGGGCAGCTTTGACAACCCTTTCCAGCAAGAAATTTTACCTAATATCCAGTGAAAACCTCCCCTGGCACAGCTGGAGGCCGTTCCCTTTCCTCCTGTCCCTTGTTCCCTGGGAGCAGAGCCTGACCCCCCCCGGCTCCCCCCTCCTATCAGGGAGTTGCAGAGCCAGAAGGTCCCCCCTGAGCCTCCTTTTCTCCAGGCTGAGCCCCCCCAGCTCCCTCAGCCGCTCCTGCTGCTCCAGCCCCTTCCCCAGCTCCATTCCCTTCCCTGCACACGCTCCAGCCCCTCCGGGTCTCTCCTGTTGAGGGCCCAGAACTGGGCCCAGCCCTCGAGGTCCCTCAGCGGTGCCAGCACAGGGACGGGCACTGCCCTGGGCCTGTGCCCACACCGTGGCTGGCACAGCCCAGGGGTCCTTGGCCTTCTTGCCCCCCTGGGCACCCCGGGCTCGTGTCCAGCCGCTGTCACCAGCACCCTCAGGGCCTTTCCCAGCTTTGCAGCCCCTCTGCCCCAGCCTGGAGCTGCAGAGGTTGGTGTGACCCAAGGGCAGGACCCGGCACTGGGCCTTTGTTGTATTTCATACAATTGCCCTTGGTCCATCAATCCAGACTGTCCAGATCCCTCTGCAGAGCCTTCCTGCCCTCCAGCAGATCCACTGTCCTACCCAGCTTGGTGTCATCTGCAAACCAGCTGAGGGCAATCAGCCCCTGGTCCATATCATTGATGAAGGTATTAAACAGGACTGGCCCGGATATTGAGCCTGGGGAACATCACTGATGACCATATAGAGTACAAAAACCTCTCAAGGCTTGGGTACGTGTTCAGGTTTGTCTTGAGTCACCATAAATACTTTGAGTCCATTTATATGGATTTTAAAAATATTCTTTTTCATAATCTTGTGCAAGTTTCACTGAATGGACCCTGTTGACATACATGTTCAGCCTTAGCTGTTGCATTGCTTTTGGTGCATGTAAACAAGTTGTCCCCTATGGCTGTATAGATTTTTATGTCACCTGGAGGATTTGGTCTCCATGACCTCTTCTGTATTGCCTCGTGCTGTGCTGTTGTCTGTCTGCACAGCCCTCAGGGTTTCATAGAAACATAGAATCATATGGCAGTTTGTGTTGGAAGAGACCTTAAACTCATCTTTTTCCAACCTCCCTGCCCTGGACAGGGACATCTTCCACTAGACCAGGTTGCTCCAAGCTCCATCCAACCTTACCTTGACTAAGTGGAGTTTCATAAGAGTGGAGCTCCTTGTATACATGGAACTTTCAGCTGCACATTGAACAATCTGTGAAGTGCATCCTCATTTGGTGTTCAAGCTCAGATGAAATGGGCCAAGAGGACACCCCCTTGGGTGTAGACACCCTCTCTATTTAGGTTGTACTCAGCCGTAATGAGCAATTACCTGATTTTTCTCTTGTTCGCCGCTTTATCTGTCACATGTAGATGATAGTGGTTGATTTTAAAATGTTACAAATTCACAAGCAATTAGGGCAAAGACATATCAATGAAAGCAATGTTTTCCTGTGATAGAAATGAGTCACAATTCAACCCAAAAACCACCAGAGAGGATGGAAAGTGTTGAGAGCATGTTTTTTGGTTAGTCTTCTCAAAACTATTATGAAATCTGATTTATTTCAGCTGCTGAGTGTGGCAGGACCGTCTGCAAGGGGAAGAATTGCAAGCAAAATGAGCCTGTAAAAATGCTGATTTTAGATGCACACAGTAATTAGGAGAACAGTGAACTCTTGGGTAGATAACAAGTCCTAGCACATCCATCATTTCACACCTATTTGGTGAGGTGCTAATGAGATTTGAACACTACACAGGTCTGGTTGTGGCCTCTGCACCGAGTCAGACAAACACTTCAGAAATGTTTATACAATGGCTATTTTGATTCTCTCTAATATCAGTTGATCCTTTAATAATGCAGTTTTATGTTTATTGTACTGGAGAGCAGACCTGCTTCTGTATGCAGGATCTTTTCTCTTGCTGTCTTTTCTGTCAGCAGGCCAACTTACCTAGTGCTACATTGACAACCACCTGCTATGGGCTATGGATCTGTTTTCTTAATTGCAATGAAATCATTTATGCCAAATAATGCTACATTACAACAGCATAATTTAATTTGCAGCTGTTCATTATATTTCCATTATCCTTCAGCTTTGGTACTCTCCCAGAAAAGGACCCATGAGTACCAGGTGAGACAGTTTCCTAAAGTGATAAAATTGCACCCCACACAGTTCACTGCCGGGTCTTTTCTGTGCCAGACTTCTGGCATAATTACATTCCTTGGGTTTCACTTATGTCATACTGAAAAATAATAATAGAGGGATTGGGTTTTTTAAGTCTAGATTTTTTTTCAAGTCTAGATTACAATCTCTTGCTATTCAAACTTAATCATGCTGTACTATGAAAAATAAGGGGGTTTAAGATGCATGACAAATGTTGCTTACATTTGAACGTCGGAAGTTTCAACATCAAACCTGTACAGAATTGTGTGCTACATTAATGCATGCCAAGGCTAGAAGAAATTGAAGCTGCCTCACAATTATTCCCTAATGGCAACAGTAATGTAAGTTGAACTTGTGAGCATTTGGCTTTTTGTAGCATTTTGAGTTTAATGTGTGTGGTTCAAGGCTCCATTATAATTTAGTATTATCAGGAAGAATATAGTTTATTAACCATTCCACTGTTTCTCTAGAAGTATATATAGTAAACTTTTTTACAATTAATCAAAAGCAGACATTGTAAAAATGGAAATCAGATTTATTGCCAAGATCATAAATGTCAAGTGTACTGTTATGCAGGCTTTGTATTACTTCAGTTGCAACTTTAAAGAACGTTTTAAGTGATTGGAAAAAGGAAGTTTATTAAAGGCTCAGCAGGTCTTCTCTGCACTCTGCTGTTATTAATGTAAATCATTGCATCGTGTGATAGAGGAGCAATGTGGCAGGAGAAGATTTTGAGCAGGTTTCCTCTGTGACTACCAATACTTTCAGGAAGAACTTGAAACACAGACCACTCTGTTTCCTCTGATACACAAATGCAAAGAGATATCAGAAGAGGGAAAGGGTAGTGCAAAGCAGCCAGAGTAGTTCATTGCTGAAGTTTTCCTTGGGTCACAGCTTAGCAGACTGTGATGTTTGTAAGAAAATTCAACACTCACAACATTTTTCAAGTGTCTATAACTGGCTTTATCTTCAATCCAAGATATTTTACTTCCCACAAATATTATTTGTTTGCTTTTCTTAGGCAACATTAATACATCCCTTGAGCTGCTAACCTAGGGAAAAATCTACCAAGAAAGTGAAATAGTTTTGGTGCATGATCTAAACTTGAATTCTGGTTGGCAGGTTTGGGTTACTTCTGGCATGATGGGGACTCAAACACAGCCACAGCAGGGAAGCCCCCTGGGCTGGGGCAGCTCTGGCCTCAGCCTCTCCTTGGTTCATGTTACATGTCTGTGAAATGCAGGTAAGGGCTGGCATCTGCTTTGCAAACTGTTTTGACACTAGATGGTTAAAAATGTCACTGAAGATAAGGATATTGTTTCATTGCTAGTGCACATTTAGTGAAGTGATACAGAAAAGTAGCAGAAAGAAGTAAATCACTTCTGTCTTGTGACTTTTAAACAGGGAAGATTTTTGATAGATATAGGATAGATAAATACTGTAATAGCTCCTCTGTGGACGTTTTGAAATAATCCTTAAAGCTCTCTAAAACTCTGTGTGAGAGATGTCTGGAGATCCCTCTTTTAGAGTTAAGTATGGGTTGATGAGTTCTTGAGGTTGGTTTAGTCCAACTGCTGCATGAAATACAAAGTAAGGTAAGAAAGTAAGCTGAGAAATACAGCTAAGGAAAAAAAAATAGTAGATTAAAGGCAAAGCTATAATTTCATAGAGTCACAGAATATTCTGGCTTGGAAGGGACCTTGAAGACCATGTAGTTCCAACCCCCTGCCATGGGCAGGGGCACCTCCCACCAACCCAGGTTGGTCTAAGCCCCATCCAACCTGTCTTGGACACTTCCAGGGCTGGGGCAGCCACAGCTTCTCTGGGCAACCTGGTGCCTCAGCACCCTCACAGGGAAGAATTTCTCCCCAGTATCCAATTTAGAACTACTCTCTTTCACGTGTTTGATTCCTATATCACTATGTGTTAACATGATTTTAAGTGCCTTTCTGTTTGTAAAGCTCCTGAGCACTTGCATTGCAGTATTAAACATAGTAATTTTTATTACCTGATAAGCTTTGTCCCTGAGAAGTGTTACCTAACACTGAGAAGTGTTTTCTCCCGGGCAGTGCAGGGAAAGCAAATTAAAGCCGGGGAGAGCAGGACACATGCAAACGATGCACAATTGAGAGCACCCTCACCATTGAGTAACCTGCTAGGAAAAGCTGCTAACAGGTCAGGGAAGTGAAATGGATATTTTATGGATATTTTGCCTGTTACAGACCAAATTCTGGCAAATGACACATGAAGTAGTTTATGACACTGTCATCAGAAGTTCTAGAGTGCCGGTGGTGTCTGACTTTTGCATACCTGGGAGCTCCTCCTACTCACAGCAGCTCCAAATGCGTGTCTGATGGAGCAAGACTTGCCTCAACCAAGATGTCCACCCCTTTCTCAGGCACACACAGAGCACTGCTTACAAAGCAGCATCGCCAGACACTTAAATAAAAGAAGTCCTGTGGAACATATCCAGCCCTCAGACACTACTTGGTTGATTTTGTAATTGGTGAATGCCCTTATCAGCATTTCACTTGCCTTGGAGTGATGCTTAAACAGCAGGGAGGGATTTGATTTCCACAGTGTCAGCCCACACCCAACTAACTCATTTGTACAGGTACTTTTTTAATGTCTAAACAGAAAGATATTAACAGGTTTGGTTTTGGTCTGAAAAAAATAGTGTCTTCATAATTCTACCTTTTCAAGCTGATATTTGGAAGATTTAATTGCTACTCTGAAATGGACTCATAGAATCTTATAATGGTTTGGGTTGGAAGGACCTTAAAGGTCACGTAGTCCCAACCCCTCTGCCAAGGCCTTCCCTCCAGCCCTTCCCTCTCCTATTTCTGTTCCTACAGAAATACATCTCAGTTAAATTCTCCTTGATACTTTTCTTGTGGTGAGAACGTTTGAATTGGCTTACCGAATTCAAGTTGTGACAAAATGGGACAATTTGGGCTTTCAGTCCCTCAGGAAGTCTGCAACATTTCAGCTTCTCCTTTCATGTAAACTGACCACAGTTCTGTGTGTGGTTGGACAGCTGATGTCACACCCAACTCAAGCTGACTACCAGTTTTCTCCTGTCTTTTCCCTGTAGGTTGCTGACTACAGTCAAATTACCTACAAAACAAGAAGTCAGCTGAGATAAAGAATTGGAGAAAATGGCTCTGGTTGTCTGAGGTGCTCTGCAATGTTTGTCATCTGTGGATTGGCAGCAATCAGCAAAACTCACAATAAGCGGTAAGTGCTCTAAATGCCATAATGAGCTCAGCCGTTGAAATCTGAATGCCATTTATGTTGCCCTTTGATAATAATTTGTGATTGCCACTCAAGAAGGCAATCATGTATCCAGCACAACTAAAAATTAGATGCATAACCCTGGCTTTCCAGTACAGCCTGAGCTGCTGTGAAGTGTACTAAAATGGTCTTTGACTGCATTCATGTTTCAATGTCTTACACCCATGTCACGTAATAGAAGTGAATCTTAAATAACAGAATTTATTTGGGAAAATGTGTGTAGATTACAGGTATTCTTTGGAGAACTCTACAGACAGTGTTCTAGCTCATAAAATACATGTTATGACACTAAAAGCATCTGGTCTTTCCTGCCTGCATTTGTATGTTTTGAACATAAAAACTGTTATACCAAGTACCTCTTTTGGAGGCTTGTTTTGTTCTTTTTTTTTTTTTTTTCCCCTTCCTCCTTTCTTTTTTGGTTATTTATTGCTGACTGCTGAAGTGTTTTGGCTTCATTTTCAGACTATAACACCTTTTGTTTATCTTCTACCTCTAGACAGAACATTTTTTTAATATTTTATTGTCTGCAAAATTTCTTCAAAGGATGCACAGCTATAACATTCTCTTAGGCTGCTTTTTCTCCTTGTGTGTAAATACCAATTTAATCACAAATGTAATACAAAAACATGTTTTTTAGTGACGGGCAGGTAAAAATATGGCACTGTTGGCAGAGTGGAATGTCTCCAAGTAGTGCTGTATCTCCTGTCTGGCTGCTTCTCTCTTTCCAACAGCTCTTTATCATCAGGTCAAGGAGTTTAACCTCTGTTAAAGTTCTTTTGGGTTTTGGACTTCCTGCTGTTAGTTATCCAAGAAGAACACTTCCCAAGGTCTTGGAGAATGATTGGCCAGACGATTGTCAACTTTGCACTCTTTGGGAGTCTTCAATAGTACACTTAGTAGTGCTTCAGTACCTACTTTTAGGTATTTGTTGCTATGTAAGATGTTACAGAATAAGGAGGTAGTGAACAAGAAGGGGATCCCAAAGCAGGAGCAGAAAGCTGCTGGCAAGGCTAAGCCAGCTCCATAGGAAACAGCCTGTAGTGAATGTGAGATTGTCCCATAAATCTGTTGACTCTCTGAGAGGTAAATATGGGCATCTGTCACTCCAGGGATCCAAGGGAAACTCCAGTGCAGAAATTGGGGGTTCTTTCTGTGTGATTGCATTTCACTGCCCTGTGTCAGTCCCTGGCAGGTCAGATGCTGTACATGGCCTTTGGTATCCTGGTTCATCTGAAGAAGTATCAGTAGATGGGTGAATCTCAGATGATGCTGAAATGCTCCCAAGGAGTGATAAAGCTGATCCCGAATTTCTGAGTTCGGTGGAGTTTATCTCCTGGAAGGAGGGCAGACAGGTGAGCATTTCCTCTGTTCATAGCAGTGCTGTGCTGTATTCAGCTGATCTGTGAGCCATACCCTGACATGGGCCAGAAAAATGTCCAAATAAGATTTGGAGAGCCTGGAAACAACATAAACTGGGCTCCAGAGGAGTGTCATGGATAGTGTTTGCATCCTAACAAAGAAGACTGGTAGCTTACTCAAGAGATCTCAAAAAGCCTACTCCTACATTTGAAGTAACAGCTTTACTCACCATATTTGCCAGTTCCTCATTCTTAGCAGGACTGGGTTTAGATTTTTTTGTCACAGATTTTTGCATAAAAGGCAGTCACTGCACCACATATTCAGCAAAAAGAAATTCTGTGTGAAAATAAGACACCAATCTTTGAGAGAGGAAATTCTTCCCAGACCACAGGGTTCCTGCATGGGATAAACCTTACTTTATACTTTCTGGATTTTGCAAACAGCCTTAGAAAAACACCTGTATTCAGCAAGGATGTATAAAAAGTGCATTAAATCAGGTAATTATAAGTCACATACATTAGAGCAGCTTTTCAGCATGTCTTTGCTGTGGTGGCTCTTACATACCTTGTATGTGTTACCTAAACATTGAGATACAGCTCAACAAGCCACGTAAACCTAGAAAATACAACCTGGGTACTAAATATGACCATTTTCCTATGAACTTTGTGGACTTTTCATCCAGTAAACCTCTGAAGAGACTGAATAAATTTTACTTGGTACTGAAAGAGAAGGATACTGCAGTAAGTGAGCTTGGAATTGTGTTTGCCCAGAGGTCTGAAAGATGCAAAATTCATAGGAAGATATACTAAGTATCTTTTCTTAGACCAGTTGATATATTATATCTGGAAAAACCAGATGAGGTTTGGGTCGTGCTGTGTCCTCATTAGATAAAACAGGGGCAAACTTCAAGCCAAATGCTGACTGAGAGAAATCTGATAAGACAGAAGTAGCTAACTCTGGCAATAGAAAGAAACTGTTAACAGGGGAAGAGGTGACGAGTTGTCTCTCTAATTAGTGTATATAGGAACAGGAAGGTGTTATCAGGGGTAAAGAACAAATTTTGTAATATTATAAGGCTCATAGTACTGTTGAATCTGTGATTTATTTTGTCAATCCAGATGTAACTCCTAGGCTGCAGGAGGTGTTTTGTTGTCCTCCTGTGAAGGTAAGACCTGAGAGGGCAGGCACTAAAGGTAGAGACAGAATTGTCCGGCCAGGCTGTGGGAGTTTCTGTTTTTAGCCAATCTGCATTCCCTGTGGTCCTGCCTGGCTGCTTGTTTTCACCTCTGTGCTTTCCAGGGAGATGAGGCAGTAAAGCCAGACAAGAAAATGTGCCGAGATGAAGACACTGGAAATCTACAGGTAGCAAACCAGGGCCTGCCTCCCTTTGAGCTGAAGCAGTAAGTGCCTGCAGAGCAATGCCTGCCAATGGTCAGATTTGTGCCTTAAAATCTGGGTCTTAGGAAAATAGTTTTGGTTTTCTGGGGTCAACTAAATAAGCCTCGTGAGCTGTCTTCTCTTTTTAGTCAATGTTATTCAGATTTTCAAGTATTTCTTTTTCTTTATGGAAAAAAAATTAAAAAAACCTCAACCTTTGAAACAGTTTTCAAGAATGAAGAATCCAAGTAAGAGAGAATTAACCCCTGGCCCACTAGGTAGGGCACATCCCTGGGATGTGAAATACTGAAGGAGTTAGAGCACAAACTCAAATATTTGTCTTTCATATGCCATACAAATGCACTTCTTATGTAAAATAGTTATTAACTTAACCTATTCCTTTAAAGAAAATGTGCTGTGCAGACTCAGGATTACAGGCAGCATTTGTCCCATGAGAAAACAACACTGAGGGAAGAAAAACTTTTCTTTTAACAACAACAATACATTTGCTTTCTTTTCTTCAATACTACCATGGTAGATAATAATACTCAAGGGTCTTTCCCATCATAGTGCACCCAGGAAAGGGATGGGTAGCACAGCAGTAGAGTGTTAGCAGAAAGCACAGAAATACAAAATGGTTCAGGTTGGAAGGGACTTTAGAACTCATCCTATTCCACCCCCTGCCATGGGCAGGGACACCTCCCACTAGCCCAGGTTGCTCCAAGACCCCTCCAACCTGGCCTTGGACACTTCCAGGGATGGGGCAGCCATGGCTTCTCTGGGCAACCTGTGCCAGGACCTCCCCACCCTCACAGGGAACAATTCCTTCCCAATATCCCATCTCTCCCTGCCCTCTGGCAGTAGGAAGCCATTCCCCCTTGTCCTGTCCCTCCATCCCTTGTCCAAAGTCCCTTTCCAGCTCTCCTGGAACCCCTTTAGGCTGGAAGGGGCTCTCAGGTCTCTCTGGAGCCTTTTCTTCTCCAGGTGAACCCCTCCAGCTCTCCCAGCCTGGCTCCAGAGCAGAGGGGCTCCAGCCCTGTGGTCAAATTAGTGGCTCTGTTGTGGCCCAGCCCAGTATCTGTTTTCACTTCAGTGCTTTGACATATCACTTAATTTGGAACTGATTACTCTGGGCTCAGGTTGGATCAGTCTGGCAACACTGACTGCAGGGCTGCTGCACAGCTGCTCTTACCAGCCCCAAGAAATACAACCTGGTAGAGTTTTTAGGTTGGTTTTCTTTTTCCTCAAAATGCCTTCTTTCATCCTGGTATGTAATACATGGCTGTTAAGTAAAAATGATATGTTACAATGCACTACCCAATATTCTCAATGGTCTCAAGTTGCACCAGCAGTGGTTCAGGTTCAATATCAGGCAAAATTTCTTCACTGAAAGAGTGGTTAAACATTGCAATGGGCTGCCCAGGGCAGTGGTGGAATCACCATCCATGGAAATGTTCAGAAAATTAGTAAATGGGACACTTGTGGTTTAGTGGGCATGGTGGTACTCAGTCAAAGGTTGGATTTGATGATCTTGGAGATCTATTCCGTCCTTAATGATTCTATGATAAAAACCCCCATCAAGCTGCAGAACACTTCAGATGCCAAGTTCACATGGTTCTACAAAATTTTTTGATTTAACTGAATTAATTATTAACTTCCATAAATGTAGTGGAATTTGATATGCAGAGTGGAAGGAGCTGCCATACTCTGCACAGACTGCTATGGGCCAGTTTAACTTTGAGTGTGAATATTATTCATTGAAACAATTCAGATAGTTTGAATATAGTAAGTCAGTGTTAAATATCTATCTTTGGTGATTTCAAAATATACATATTTTTAAGTGTAGTACAGGAAAACCTTTGTCTTCAGTGAAAAAGGCCAAATGTTCAACTCTGAGTCAAACAGGGAGCAGAGCTTTCGAAAGCTTTGCTGAGACTCACCTATTATAAAAGGCCAGGGAGGTATTTTGTTCTTCAGAGTCAGATCATATATTTTCATTTTTCCCAAGCTCTTAACCACAAGGTTCCAGAATTTTCAGTTAATTTTCAGTGAATTTAAATAGTTTATTTGGTGGCCTAAGAGAGGAATGGTTTGAAAACATCTAAAAATTACCTCTAGAGAATGTAATTTTTTTTTTCTCCCAGAGTAATTTCCAGCCACTTTAATCTGCTGTAAATGTTTGTTGTTAAATGTTTCATAGTCACACAGAGAAAATTACCAAGTTGGGGAATTTGCAGTTTGAATCCCAATATAGCATGGGATAATACCTTAAAAATTGATCTCCTTAGCCTATTTAGATACAACTAGTAACAAAAAAACCCCAAACAAACAAACAAATAAACAAACAAATAAACAAACCAATGGAAACCCTCCCCATACTTAAAAAAAAAAAATCAAAACACAAACAAAAACACAAAGCCAAAAATCTTTCTTAATTTTTATTAATGATTCTCTCATCAGCATTTAATTTTTCACTTTGGAATTCATACAAGAATTTTAACTGATTTGTCCCTACACAGAGTAGCTCTTTATTACTTTTTTTTTTTCCCCTCTTGAGATTAATAAAGCAGTGATATGGAATTCTCTTTTATTTGTTTGATGTAATTGTCCTGGAGGCTGGAGTCATGACTTATCAAGTACTTAGTCTGAATGAACAGGTGACTAATACTGAGCTATATTAGGAAGAGTTAACTGTGTTTTCACTGTTGGTCTCAAAATCCAGGCTTCTGTCTGGTGATACCTTGAGAATTAGTGCTCTAAATGTATCTGTATGTCACAGATATCTCTAATGGTTTGGTTTCTTTTTCATTTTTCTTCTTCTTTTCAGTCTGGATTTGATATATGGGTGTCATGGTTTGAGACTGTCCCTCCTGAGAGCCGGGGGGCCTAGAGGTGATTGGGTGCCAGGGCAGTTTCCCCTGGAGGGACAATCACCACTCGTTTTGTTCGCTCCTGTGAAAAATCATATATACAAAACTGATGGAAGTTGTTGGCAACTGGTCTGGCTGACTGGCTGGCTGCTGTTGTGTGGGTGTGAGAAAGGCCCCAGGGGTGGCAGGGCCCCTTTCTTTCCCCTCCGGGGGGAAAGGGGTCCCTGCAGCACTCAGCTCTGGCTAAGCCAGGGTTGGAGGCAGCATTGGAGTGAGTGTGTGTTGTGAAGGAAGGGATTCACAACACCTGAAGGTAAGAGGGAGAGTGAAGCCAGACCCTCTTCCTCCCCCCTTTGCAGCCAGACTGTGGAGGGGGCTTCTTCTTTCCCTCTCACTGTAAAGTGGAATGGAGTCTCAGCGTTGGAGCAGAGCCAAAGTGGACGGTCTGAATGCAGCCCGGTGCCAGGGAGATAACCCCAGGCAAAATTAGTGACGTACCAGAGAGAGGCCTGGAGGATGTCCTTGCAGTGATTTAAACAAAGGACAGCCAAAAACTCGGAGGAGGAATGAAGATTCCAGGATGCATACTGTGATAGGCTGAACTAAACTACAGCAGCACAGAATCGAGGTGTGAGAGAGAGAATGACAGAGCAGAGACGGCACGGAACCAAGGAGAAAGGACTCAGAGCTATCTTCTTGGACTTCGTGAGGAAGAAAGGACTTCAGGTTAGATATTAGAAAGAATTTCTTTACAGAGAGGGTGGTCAGACATTGGAATGGGCTGCCCAGGGAAGTAGTGGATTCTCGGTCCCTGGAGATTTTTAAAAAGAGATCGGATGTGGCACTTAGTGCCATGGCCTAGTAACCACAGTGGTGTTGGATCAAGGGTTGGACTTGATGATCTCAGAGGTCCCTTCCAACCCAGCTGATTCTATGATTCTATGATTCTATGATTCAGTAAACAGCTGGAGGTTGGTGGGGGGAGTGAACCTTTTTCCCTGAACACTCCCACAGGAGAAAGACTGCTTTACCTATCAGCCTGAGGAGCTTTTCCTGGACTGAATTAAGGGAAAAAGCTTAAAGGGACTGATAGAAGTGTGTAATATTATATATATAGTTGCTTTTAGCTTGTACAGTATTTATTTGTATAGTAATTAATGTATATATACTTTCCCTTTTCCCCTATAGAAGCCTCTTGCCTGAAAGTTTCTCTTCGGTGTTGAGATAAATTGTGGGAAGGAGCGGGGGAAGCCTGGAAATTGGATTTTGGACTTTTGTGGTGGCTCAAACCACCACAACGGGGAATGCTGCAATGGAGTAATTGAAAAAAAAATTATTAAAATGTCACCGTGTTTATGGAAACTTACCCACTTGTAGCTGTCTTTCTAAAATGGTGAATTGTGTTTTGGTGCTGAGTTTTAAGACACAGATTTATTTTTGTGTATCGTCATCATCCTAGAAATCCATGTAAATCATTGCAATCTTGACATTTTCGTGTAAGGTCTATCTGTATCCTATAAACTATTTATTAACGAAAGCATCTAAAGCCTGGAATATATAAACTGGAGATTTTACTGGACTTTAAGATCTTTTGATTAAAAATACATATCAGGATAAAATATTAATAGATGTGTAGCTGTGTATGTCCTGGTGTTCAGATGGGCTGAGTGTCCAGAGAAGCTCTTGGATTCAGTTTGTGTGGGAGATGCTCATTACATCTGAAGCTTAAAGCCCAGCATTAAACAAATACACGAGAATAACAACAAAGTCTTAATGCAAGAGAGTGGGAGAGTTTGCAGTAATATGTTGTGTATTTACTGGAAATAATAAGCTAAACTTTTTCCCTGACTGTTTTCTCTGGATTCTTCCTCAAATATTCTCCTTTTTTATTTTTCTCATTTAATTGATTTTGCACATTTAATTGTTATTCTGGTGGGGAAGGAACACCTGACAGTGCCATTGAGTGTACTGACCCGGGTGGTCCCCCATGCTGAGAACCCAGAGGTTGAGTTGCACTTTTATTTTTGTTTTCCACTAGCCCAAATTATGGTAGGAAGATCAAAAATAGTGGAAAACAAAACCCCTGCGCTGGAAGACTTAAGATAAACCAAAAAAACCCTGTGAGCCTGCTCTAGTTATTTGGTAGTAATGAAGCTTAACAGGAGGAGAAGAGGATGAGGAGGGAAGAAAGTTTAAGTAGTAGGGTGCAGGAGATACCAATATTTTGCACCATGGTATATATATCTGTGTCTATAACATGCATTTTTTGCTAGTTTTCCTCCTCAACCTGTTTATATCTGTAACCCACATAGAATGAGTGATATTTTGAACTGGGAAGATGTGATTTTCTCTAGGACCCAAGAGAATGGCATGAACCTCAGGAGAGGTTTAGGTTGGATATGAGGAA